CCTGAATGTGAAAAACCTTGGTGTGCCTTCAATCCCGACCTCGACAGAGGCGGAGAACGGAAGCCAGGAAGCAGCACAACATCATTAAATGTCAAACACTCTGCATCCTCCAGCTTCTCTCCCAGAGCAGGCAGTATTTTTTGGGAAGAAAATGAAAAGGCTCACTGTCATCCATGGGCTTGAAGGTGAGGGTGACCCAGGGGGAGCGCAGCTGCCCTGCCTCGGCCCGCAGCTGCAGCACGTAGCTGCCGTAGGGCGACAGCGAGGACACGTCGCACCAGGGCTGCCTCAGCTCTGTCCTCAGCGTCTCAAAGCTGTCCCCGGGGTAGTAGATGCTGCAGGGAACAGAAACAGATGGGTCATTCCAGCCGGCTAAATGGCTTTAACAAAGCTGTTAATGGGAGCAGTTAGCATTAAGGGACACAAAAATGTACCCAGTGCGTGTAAAATTCACATTAGGGATTTTACACCCATCTATCAATCCACTATAAACTTAGGGGCTAAAATTCTAACTCTAAAAAATGCCCATTTCCTGGTAGGGTCGCAGGATTCAGCAGGCAGGAGTTCAGAGAAGCCAGCAAACACTCAGCCAGTGCCACGGCAGGGCACTGCTGTCCCACTGGGACTCTGCTCAGAGCTGTCTCCAGGATTTGTTCATGAGGAAAAGCCAGAGAAAAACAGGGCTGGGAAGTGACCAGGAACTGCTTAGGGAACAGAACCACAGCAGGTGTGGGCTAGAGGGACCTCAAAGCCCACCCAGTGCCACCCCTGCCATGGCAGGGACACCTCCCACTGTGCCAGGCTGCTCCAAGCCCCTGGCCTTGATGATATTTAATATATTTTATCCTTTCTGCTTTGCATCAAAAGCCTGCCCAGAAATGTACTGATCATGGCTACAGAATCCAGAAAAAGATTCCCTCAACTAAGCATGAAGAGAAGGCTCTGGGCAAGGCTTAGAGTTCCTTCTAGTGCCTGGAGGGGCTTCTCAAGAAAAGGGAGAATTTTTATATTGGCAGAGAGTGCCAGGAGCCAGGGAATGGCTCCCACTGCCAGAGGGCAGGGCTGGGTGGGAGATTGGGAATTGGGAATTGTTCCCTGGCAGGGTGGGCAGGGCTGGGATGGAATTTTCAGATGCCCCTGGATCCCTGGCAGTGCCCAAGACCAGGTTGGACACTGGGGCTGGAGCAGCCTGGGGCAGTGGGAGGGGTCCCTGACATGGCAGTGGTGGGATGGGATGGGATGGGATGGGGATGGGATGGGGATGGGATGGGGATGGGATGGGGATGGGATGGGGATGGGATGGGGATGGGATGGGGATGGGATGGGGATGGGATGGGGATGGGATGGGGATGGGATGGGATGGGATGGGGATGGGATGGGATGGGATGGGATGGGATGGGGATGGGATGGGGATGGGATGGGATGGGATGGGGATGGGATGGGGATGGGGATGGGGATGGGATGGGATGGGGATGGGATGGGATGGGATGGGATGGGATGGGATGGGATGGGATGGGATGGGATGGGATGGGATGGGATGGGATGGGATGGGATGGGATGGGAGCATCTGAGAGGTCAGGGAAGGGCAAACACTCCGCACAACCAGGTCTCTTCAATCACAGAAGATAAAAACCACACACACAGCCAGTAACACCCAATGTCAGAATGTGTTTGTGACTCCAAAACAAACATGATAAAGCTGCCCTGGGTGTGAATGTGTGAATGCCCAGGAAATGCCTCTGCCCTGTCCTTCAGCTCAGCAGAGAAGCCTCTCACAGGCTGAAATAAAGGGACAGCTCCTGGGACAGAAAAGTCCCTGAAATAAAGGGACAGACTGTGCTCTGCAAAGGACACAAATCCCAGGCACGCAGAGCTTGGGATGTGAAGGAAAGCCAGCCCAGCCCAGCCTCACCTCTTGGACTGCACAGTGTAGGTGAGGTTCCCTCTGGGGAACTTTGGTGCATCCCACTGCAAGGTGCTGTGAAGATTGACTGAAGAAATTCTTGCGTTCTGGGGCTCTGGGATCATTCCAGAAACTGTGGGAGGAAGCAGAACCAATATTTCAGTGTTTGCTCCTGCACTTGTCACTCATCCAAAATTTAAATGCAGCCTCTGCCTTGCCTTAGGTGCTTATTCAAAAACAGAGCCAAAGTAAATTAATTTAAATCCTGATGCCTCTCCGGCCTCCTTATGCAACAAAACAAATTACTGGCACCCCGGTGACTTCCAGTAAGTGCTTCTGACACCAACGTTTCTCCTGCATGACTGAGCTGGTGCTGCCCACCACTCAGGGCATGAATTCTCCCTGAGACTGTCAAACCCAGATTTCTTAAGCAGTGCTCCAGCAGCACTGTGGGAATAACAAGGGCGTGGGGACTGATAAAGAGAGAGAAACCAGAAGCAACTCTGAAGGTAAGAAAGCTATTACATATAATTAAATGTGATTATGTATTGTCAGTCAGCATTATTCACAAGGGACAAAACCCCAGTTATTCTCCTTTCTTGGAAGTGAAACAAAGAAACCCCAAACTGGTGTAAAATATCAACGAAAAGCCCATTACTGTTATGATTTAATTATTCTTGCATAATTGAAGGCATTAAGACTAAAATAACAAAGATTCCAGCCCATTACTGCACCACAAATGAACAATACAAACAAACCCTGCCAGAGCAGAGCAGCACTGAAATGTCACAGGAGTCACACCTAGTGACAGACTCCAAGAGAAATAACACATTTTCCATGCCTGTGGTTCACAGAATCATCAGGGCTGGCAGAGACCTTTCAGGTCACCTGTGTCACCCCAGCAGCCCACAATCACCCCTGAGCTGTGCCCAGCTGATGCAGAAATTGATGAAATCCCTGTGTCAGTCACGCCCCGCTGGCAGACAAGAGTTTCAAATCTGAACCTGGCTTAAACAAAACTTGTTTCAGACTCTGCTCCTGCAGTGTTACCCTTGCACCCAACAAATAAATCCAACACAGTGCACATCACAAACACAGAAGTTCAAATCCCAGACTAGCTTGGGCTGGGAGGGACCTCAAATCCCACCCAGTGCCACCCCTGCCATGGCAGGGACACCTCCCACTGCCCCAGGCTGCTCCAGCCCCAGTGTCCAACCTGGCCTTGGGCACTGCCAGGGATCCAGGGGCAGCCCCATCTGCTCTGGGAATTCCATCCCAGCCCTGCCAGGGAACAATTCCCAATTCCCAATCTCCCATCCCGCCCTGCCCTCTGGCAGTGGGAGCCACTCCCTTTTATCCTGGCATTCCATCCCTTGTCCAAAGCCCCTCTCATTTCTCTTGGAGCAGTGCCCCTGCTCTGTGGATGAGGTCTGAGGCAGGCATGCAAATTCCCAGGAAAAATCCCATTTCCTTGCCGGGGCATTATTCCCTCACAGTGTTGCATACCTGAGGAGCCTCCAGGTAAATTGCTTCACTGGGTAATGTGGATCCAAAGAGATGAGGAAATACTTCTGGGGTTTCAGGTTTGTGCCCAGCCCTCCCAGCCCAGGGAGTCCCAGCTGTGCCCATGCCCACCTTGTCCCCAGCCCAGAGCACTCAGTGCCACCTCCAGGGGACACCTGCAGGGATGGGCACTCCAAAGCTCCCTGGGCAGCCCCTGCCAGGCCTGAGCCCCCTTTCCATGGGGAAATTGCTGCTGCTGTCCCAGCTGAGCCTGCCCTGGCCCAGCCTGAGGCCGTTCCCTCTCCTCCTGTCCCCTCTGCAGACAATGACACGGAGCTCTCGGGCCGCGGCTTCGCCCCCACACCCGGCTTCGCCCGCCCGGAGCTGCAGCGCCCCGCTCCCGGCAGGACCGGCCCCGTTTCCCAGCACAGCCTGAGCCCCGGCTCCACAACGCCCGCGGGCTGTCCCCGCTGTCCCTTCTGTCCCCACAGGGCACTGTCGGGGCTCTCGGTTCCTCACCGCGCCCGCGGAGCCGCGCCGGGCTCGGGCCGCGCGGAGGCGCCGCCGCCGCCTCAGGCGCCCCTCGCCGCCGCTCGCCGTGCCCGCGGCCCGGGGCACCGGGAGCTCGCCCCGTCCCTCCGTCCCTCCGCACGGACTCACCGCACAGCAGCAGCAGCAGCCCGCTGCACAGCGCGGCCCGCAGCGCCGCGGCCATGGCGGCTCCCTCAGCCGCGGCGGGGCGGCCGCGCCATGGCAGCGCCAGCGGGGCCGCCCCGGCACCCCGGCGCCTTCCGCTTCCCCACGGGGCGGAGCGGGTGAGGGAGCCCCGGCACCCCGAACCCTTCTCCTTCCCCACGGGGCGGAGCGGGTGAGGCAGCCCCGGCACCCCGAACCCTTCCCCACGGGGCGGAGCGGGCTGAGGGAGCCCCGGCACCCCGAACCCTTCCCCTTCCCCACGGGGCGGAGCGAGTGAGGGAGCCCCGGCACCCCGAGCCCTTCCCCTGCCCCACAGAGAGGAGCGGGCTGAGGGAGCCCCGGCACCGGCACCCCGCGCCCTTCCGCACGGGGCGGAGCGGGCTGAGGGAGCCCCGGCACCGGCACCCCGAACCCTTCCCCACGGGGCGGAGCGGGTGAGGGAGCCCCGGCACCCCGAACCCTTCCCCACGGGGCGGAGCGGGCTGAGGGAGCCCCAGCCCGGCACCTCGAACCCTTCCCCTTCCCCACAGAGAGGAGCGGGCTGAGGGAGCTCCGGCACCCCGAGCCCTTCCCCTTTCCCACAGAGAGGAGCGGGCTGAGGGAGCCCCGACACTCCGAGCCCTTCCCCACAGAGGGGAACCGGCCTAGGGAGCCCCGGCACCCCGAGCCCTTGCCCCTTCCCCACGGGGCGGAGCGGGTGAGGGAGCCCCGGCACCCCGGGGCCTTCCCCACAGAGAGGAGCGGGCTGAGGGAGCCCCGGCACCCCGGGGCCTTCCCCACAAAGAGGAGCGGGCTGAGGCAGCCCCGGCACCCCGGGGCCTTCCCCACAGATCATACTCCGGTTCCCTCATAGGCCATCTCTATTCCCCTCACACACTGGGGCTGCTCAGAGTGGGGATTTTAAATGTTAGAAAAATATTTTAATATGAATGAGTAATCGTAGAAAATGATATAAAAATAAATTGGAGAAGTGTATTAATGCCTCGATCCACTCTTTTGTCAGCTGAGTGTTCCTGTCTCTGCCCTCAATGTTCCACTTGACCAACGTTCTCTGCACAAATACAGCATCCAGCCAGAAGAACAGGTTTCACAAAAATCCAGTGACAGAGATAAAGAATAAAAAAAATTGTAAAAGTGGTCTGGCTGGGAGACCAGCCATCCACTGTCCCAGGCTGCTCCAGCCCCAGCGTCCAGCCTGGCCTTGGGCACTGCCAGGGATCCAGGGGAATCTGGGAATTCCATCCCAGCCCTGCCCACCCTGCCAGGGAACAATTCCCAATTCCCAATCTCCCACCCAGCCCTGCCCTCTGGCAGTGGGAGCCATTCCCTGGCTCCTGTCCCTCCAGGCCTTGAAAACTATCTCTACCCACCTTCACAGAGAACAATTTCTAATCCAGAACTGCCCTCCTGTCAGTTTGAAGCCATTCCTTCTTGTCCTGTCCTTCCATCCCTCATCCAAAGCCCCTCTTTTGGAGCCCCTTTAGGCACAGGAAGGGGCTCTAAGGTCTCTTTGGATCCTTCCCCAGACAAACACCCCCAACTCTTTCTGTAGGAGCCATAACTCACACAATGCTAATGACAGGACAACACCTGTGTGTTCAGTCCAGAAATAAAAGTTGGACAACACTGGTCCCTACGTTATAAAGTAAAAGCAGTTCTCCCTTCTTCATCTCCTCATGTACCCCGTTACTTGCTCTGTGTCTGAGTCCAAAGAGTCGCTTTCCTCAGAGGAAGAGGAGGACTTTTGCCACTCATGGAAGCCATTAGAACAAGGTGTCCCCTGCCCGCTTCCCGTGTCCTCCAGCAGCTTTTCCTGCAGAGCACGAGCACAGTGCCAGTCCCCTGCATCCTGCTGGGCTGGGGCAGCAGCTGCAGAGCCGTGCCCGTCCTGCTCCAGGGTTCCCAGCAGCACCGTGTGCAGGCTGATGGTGAAGCACCCGCTGCTCCCCTGGGGCTCACCGCTGTCCCCAAACTGGCTCCTCGTGTCTCTGTCCCCTCCAGGGTGCTCCTGGAGCTCCTGTGGCTCAGCAGCTGGCATGTCCCCAGCCTGGCTGCTGCTGTGCTCACAGGTGCTGCTCTCCGAGTACTGCCTCAGGCTGCTGCGGCTGTCACAGCCCTGGGGGACACTGCCCCTGCCCAGCCTGTCCCGCCTGGTGTAGTTGTGGTCACACAGGGCACTGCTGTCGCTGTCACTGCTGTCACTGTCACTGCTGTCACTGTAGCGCCTGGCCTTGCTTTTCACCTCTCTGGGGATGATCTCCACAGAGGCCAGTGTTTCTGACTCAGACACCCACGGTGAGTAGGCCACCTTCTTGATGCATGCCTGGAAGAGTAAAAGGAATTAAATCCACTCAGCCACTTTTGCACATATGCACACAACACCACGAAAAAAATACCCCAAATAACCTCCAGACATGAGGCTGTCAAACAAATTATTCCCTCTGTGCCACAGTTTGGGCTTTTTCTGCAGAGTTCAGGATATCTAGGGTCACTCCTTCTTTTCCATTCCTGAACATCACAGAGCCCCTGAATGGTTTGAGTGGGAAGGGATCTTAAAAGATCATCACATTCCAATCCCCTGCCACGGCAGGAACATCTCCACTGTCCCAGGCTGCTCCAGCCCCAGTGTCCAGCCTGGCCTTGGGCACTGCCAGGATCCAGGGGCAGCCCCAGCTGCTCTGGGCACCTATGCCAGGGTCTGCCCACCCTGCCAGGGTGAGCTGAGTCTTGTCACTCTCAACTCTTGCAGTCACCTCTATCACAGCTGAGCAATTTTCACATCCTTTAGAAATTATATTTTGAAGTAATCTTTGCCATTTTAACATCCCAAGCCTTGTCTTCCCTCTGCACTTCAGAGGATTATTCAATATTTGAAGCATTTGTCATGTTGACAATAATAAATAAATAAACCTTAGACATTCCGTAGTAATGTGTTCAGCATTTGTTGGGATGTGAGTGATGACATAGCAAATAACAGAAACATGGAAAAAGTCTTAGAAAAAAGTGATACCCATCTGCTCTGGGTATGTTTGTAAAACATGAAAAATATCTATGCTGAAAAACTCTAAAGAATTAAATGGAAAAGAAGTCAGAGACTGTAAAAAATAGAACAAGCAAGAAAAGCTAAAATACAGAAACAAGTCTTGGTTTTTTTGCTTGAAATTTAGTGGCAATTCAATCTATGAAAATAAATTAGCTGGCTCTGGACTGGCTCCCCCTGTGCTTGATCACAGAAGAAGTCCAAGAGAGATTATTTTATTATTATTAAACAGTGGAACAACTTCTCCTCCAGTCTCTCCTCACAGGGCAGGCTCTCCAGCCCTCTGCTCTCCCCCTGGCCCTGCTCTGGGCCCACTCCAGCCTGTCCACACCTTCTGTGCCCTGTGGGGACCAGAACCAGGAGGAATATTCCTGGATGTTCTCCCTGAGCAGGGTGGGATGATCCTCTCTGCTACTCTCTTGCCACAGAAATAGCAATAAATGGTTTTGAGTATTTGTTCTGATCTTAACAGCCTAGAGATCATCTCTGAGGTAAACTGCAAATGCAAACATTCTGTACTCTTACAGAACTCGTACCTAAAGCACAAGATTGGGAATTCCAGCTGTTAAAACATCCTGCTGCCAGGCAGAAAGGGCAGATCTGAGAGCTGTTACATACCAAGGTCTGAGGAAGGGAAAACTTCGGGGAAATAAAACCTGCTGCATGCACACACTTCAGGATTGCAGCAATTATCAGTGAAACACAGACAGCACCTGCCACCGCAACTTCATGGTACCCTGGAGTGAAAAAAATCAAATAAACACACATGGAGGAAGTGTCCCACCACCACATTCCAGATCTCCCAGTCACAACAGCTATTAGGAATCACCAATAATTTTGGTTAGAAGGGACCTGTGAAGGTCAAATTCAAAACAAGACCAATCCAAATTAGCATCAGGAATTATAAAAGAAGTGACTCCATCTTTCTGCAGAGTTAGTGGAGATCTGTATGGCTCAGGGGATAACCAAGAGATTTGCTGCCCCAAAGTTGGTGGGGTTTTATATTTCACTCCTAAATACCCACAATGGTTCTCTCTGCCAGTGAGGCTCTGAAGGACAGCACCCAGGGAGCAGCTGGAGCTGGCCCAGGAGGGATTTAGGTTGGGTTTAGGGAAAGGCTCTTCCCCAGAGGTGCTGGCACTGCCCAGGCTGCCCAGGGAATGGGCACGGCCCCGAGGCTGCCAGAGCTGCAGGAGCCTTTGGAAAGCGCTGCCAGGGTGGGGTTGTTGGGGTCTGGGCAGGGCAGGGCTGGCACTGGGGGATCCCTGGGGGTCCCTTCAGCTCAGGACATTCCATGATTCTGTGATCACTTGTTTTTTAGGACTGAACTGTACATGTCCCTACACCAAAAGAACACACAGCACACCCAGACCAGCCCCCTGCCCCTCAGCTCCCTCACCTTGCCGAGCCTCCGAGTCTGTGGTGACACATTTCCAGGGGGAGGGGACAGAATTCCTGTTCAGGGATGCAGTGACCCCCACGGACACACAGTAATTCCTGCTGGGATACAATTCCTCAATGACAGTACTAAACACCTCCTCAGTGGTTCTCTGCCGTGGCCTCTGCCATGAAAAACAATGTTTTGAAGTCAGTCATTGGCTGGAAAGAGCCCCTGCTCCCTCCTCCAGACCTGCCCCCTGCAGTGAAAGGAAGCTCAGATTCTGCTGGCCCTGCTCTCTCTTTTCTTCTAAGCAATCTACTTTTATGTTTTCTTTTGCTTCTATTCACATACTTGGTTTTGGGAACCTGTTAACCATCAGAGCCATTTCATGCCCTCTGTGTTCCTCCCCTAAAGCACAACTATTCCCAAATTTCCCTACCTTATGCTCTCCATCCAGTGATTTCAGTGTGATGTCATAATCCAGCTCTTCATAGATATCAATTAAAGACAGCAGCTTCCCCTTGGCTCTGAAGTGAGAGGCTGGCAGCTTTATGGTGACATTGATGCAGTTTGGACAGGAAGTGATATTCACTTCTGGTGGTCCCAGAATTGCTGTTGGAAAACAAGGAAGAGGAAAAAATGATGGAAAAATACACACTTTATCCAGCACCAATGCCATTTCTGTGATGCACACAGAGCTGGCTCAGCACACTCCAGAGAGGTCACTGCTGTATATCCACAAGGCCTTGCAACATTTAACTTCCACAGCCAAATCATCATTCCCACATGGCCTGGTTTTAAAGGAAAAGGACTGGAAGGAAGAAGCAGAAAGGGGACAGAGCTTTGCTCCAGCTTCACAGAAATGTGATCTTTGTATCTACCTGAGATTGAAGCTGAGGTTAAAGTACAGAACAGAATCATAGAATGGGTTGGGTTAGGAAGGGAGCTCACAGCCCATCCAGTGCCACCCCTGCCATGGCAGGGACACCTCCCACTGCCCCAGGCTGCTCCAGCCCCAGTGTCCAGCCTGGCCTTGGGCACTGCCAGGGATCCAGGGGCAGCCACAGCTGCTCTGGGCACCTGTGCCAGGCCTGCCCACCCTGCCAGGAAACAAATCCCAATTCCCAGTATCCCATCCAGCCCTGCCCTCCTTTAGCTGAAAGCCATTCCCCCTTGTCCTGTCCTTTTTATTAAATCAGCTGCTGAGGGACTACAGGGCTCCTCCTCAGGATGTTCTCCTTCAGTTCTCCTTGTCCCAGTCTCCTCATTCCCTACAGTGTTCCCTCATTTCTGGCTCTGGAAGGGGGCACAGCAGCTGCCTCTGCTGAGTTCAGGGGAAACATCATCAGTTCATCCTCTACAGCTCTCCAGCTGTTCCTCAATATCTGCCTCTGTTAGCTCAAAACTCCATTTTAAGCAGAGCCAAGGGTGAAGCCACCTCTGGCAATAAAGACAAGTCTCTTCAGCGTGGAAAAGGGCAGATTGATGGACAAACAATCCATCTCTTCCCTACACCTGGTGCAGACTTGGCATGTTTTAACTCAACATTCACTATCTGAACACACAAAAATAATGTTTTTTTTAAAAGTTATGTACCTTACACAGTCAGGAGATTTTTACTCGGTGTTTGTCAATGCACTACTGTATTTCCTTTATATTTATAATGTACTTATTTCAAAACCAGAGCCTCACTCCTTTATCAGAGCTACTAATTTTAGAAACTTATCTATGTACTTTAGGCTTTGTAACAGATATATGAAATACTACATACAAATAGCCACCAACCAAGTCAGTGTGAAGTCTTACAGAAAAGGCAGCAGAACATAATTCAGGCATCAGCTGCTAATGAAAACTACAAAAAGAAGAAATGCAGAGCAAGATCTTACTCTCAGTGAGTGGCACAAAACGCAGCACAGAAGAATTGAGCATCTGAGCTCCTCCAATGCTCTGAACAAGTACAGAATACTCAGGGGATGTGTCCTTGAACTCCTCTGTCAGCTCACAGGAGAGCTGGGCAATGCCTGAACACTGCTGAGCACTCATCCAGCTCTGGCTCCTGCAGAAAAGAGAAAAAGAGTCTCAATTCTCTGATGTGAGAAGGGCATTTCTCAGGAAAAAAAAAAAAAAAACCACAAAAAACAAACAAACAAAAAAAAAAAACCCAAAAAAAAACACCCCACAAAAACTAAGAAAAAACCCAAGAAAAACAGAGAAAACCTCAGCTTTACTATTTTCACAGAATCCCAAATCCCTGGGACTGGAAAAGCCCTCCCAGCCCAGGGAGTCCCAGCTGTGCCCATGCCCACCTTGTCCCCAGCCCAGAGCACTCAGTGCCACCTCCAGGGGACACCTGCAGGGATGGGCACTCCAAAGCTCCCTCCTCTTTGGGCCAATGAACATGAAAAGCAGAATTTGTGCCTTATTTAGTGTGACTTGCCTGCGGTCTCTGTACAGCACATTGTAGGATGCTGGCACAGCTGGGTCATGTTCTGCCTGCCAGGACAAAATGTGCTGGAAATTGTAGGAGTCCATCTGAAGGTTGTAGGGAAGCCCCTCCAAAATTCTTTCTAGAAAGGAAAAAATAAAAAAAAAACCCCAAAACAAACAAACAAACAAAAAACCACAAGCAACAAACAACTCTGAGCTTTGCAACAATTGTAATAAATAAACCCATTCAGAGCAGCTCAGGATTTGCCCCAAAAAGCAGCACAGGGGAGAGCTCAGCACAACAGACATAGCAATGCAAAGCACTGTGCACATGGAGTACATTTCTCTTTCTCCAAAAAGCATGAAGTTCCACAATGATGACTGGTGAGGATGTGCAAGCTATGAAATGTGTTAGGGAAAACATTTTAAAGATGGTAACACTCTTACCAGGCAGGCTGCAAACAGCTGTAGACAGAAAGGTCAGGCACACTGGAAAGTGAAACTCTGTATTAATGCTTTGGTGTATCCACAGGACCTGACTTTTATTTCAGGTATTCATTTGCAACAATTGGGTTCATACCCATTACTCCCTGGTGGAACTGTTACTTTCTTTCACACCTTCCCAGATTTTCCTACACTTCCTTCCTTCTCCAGAGCCTGGGAGAAGTGCCCATGAACCTGAGGAGGAGCTGGTTCCTGGATCCTGACGCTGCTCCCTCATGTGAGGTTCAAGACTCAGTGTCAGCAAAAACACCCAAGATGTTCTCATCAAATCATGTCTCAGAGGACTCTGACTGGATTTCAAACACCTTTTCAAGCCATCCCAAGAATTTTAGAACTGATCTGGGAAAATATTCCATTATTGCTTGATTCATTCTAATGGATCCCAGAAAGGTTTGGGTTGGAAGGGACCTTAAAGAACCCAATTCCACCCCCCCTGCCATGGTTAGGGACACCTCCCACTGTCCCAGGCTGCTCCAAGCTGGCCTTGGACACTTCCAGGGGCAGCCCCAGCTTTTCTGGCAATCCTGCCACTCCAGAAGTTCCTACATCTTCTGTAAAACCTCCCTAGGAAGCTGTCATCCACCCAGGATTCCTTTCCTCGACCAACCCAGCTTCTCATTGTTCCCATCTTTTCAACACAGTGCTTCAAAACACTTTTGAAGTGCAAGTTTTGGTTCTCACTCTTAAAATATTTTTTTTTCTCAAGCCCCTTCAGCCTTCCTTCTGCTTTGAGTGCAACAAGGAGAAACTTCCTGTTCTTGTTTTAAGGCATTTTGTGGTCATGCCTCTGACTCAGATGCTGACTCCCACACTCAGTTGACCAAAGAAGTCACTACTTTAATTCCAAACACATTTCTTCTCTGTTTTACATCAATTCCATGGGAAAATCTGGAGAGTTCCTTCCTTATCTTCATAAAACTCTCTTTTGTCTTGACCTGTTGTGTTAAAAAGATGTACCACAGTCACCATGACTGTGAAAAGAGAAATCTGGGCCTTGAATTAGAAAATCTAAATAATCTTTATGGAGATCCACAAACAACAGGTTTAACTGCAACTAAATGTAGAACAATGGATTTCTGACCAGGTAGGAAATCACCCACTTGGAAATAAACATCCAGTGAGGATAAATAAAGCAATATTTTAATTATTATTTTCATCTGAGCACAAGCTTAGACTTGTAATAATTTGTGTCTGCTGAACTGCTGCTGCATTCCAGTTAACATTATTTGATTTTTCAAAGCCTCTTCTCTACCCAAGCCAAATTCCTTTCAGTTCAGAGCTCCCATTGCCTCTGAACTTTGTTTGAACAAACATGTTTAGCAAAGGAAGTCGAAGAGTTGCAAAATTGTTTGTGATACACTCAAAGGAAACACAGCCAAGACAAATATCTTAGAACAAGTAACTGTGAAGATTCAGCGTGGGGAAATACAGACGGTCTGGAAATTGTGTGGGGAATCTTCGTTCAGCATCTTGGCCTATCTGGAGTCTCTACCAGCCCTGGAAGTGTCCCAGGCCAGGCTGGACAGGGCTTGGAGCAGCCTGGGACAGTGGGGGGTGTCCCTGCCATGGCAGGGGTGGCACTGGGTGGGATTTAGGGTCCCTCCCAACCCAAACCAGTCTGGGTTTCTGGAATGCTGATCTGATCCTTTTTATAGAATTAAAGGTTCCTAAAACCCCTCCTCACACCAAGTACAGCTGAGCCAAACTGTGCTTGTTTCACCTGCTAATCCAGAAACTGAGGAGTGCTGGGAAAACTCAGACTGAAAAATAAAAACCTTCACATGTACCTGAGAGTTCCTGGATGTGCAGGGAGGCAGAACCATGGAATGGAATGGTTTGGACTGGGACGGACCTTAAATCCCACCCAGTGCCACCCGTGCCATGGCAGGGACACCTCCCACTGCCCCAGGCTGCTCCAGCCCCAGTGTCCAGCCTGGCCTTGGGCACTGCCAGGGATCCAGGGGAATCTGGGAATTCCATCCCAGCCCTGCCCACCCTGCCAGGGAACAATTCCCAATTCCCAATCTCCCACCCAGCCCTGCCCTCTGGCACTGGGAGCCATTCCCTGGCTCCTGTCCCTCCATCCCTGTCCCCAGTCCCTCTGCAGCTCTCCTGGAGCCCCTCCAGGCCCTGGCAGGGCTCTGAGCTCTGCCTGGAGCTTCTCCTCTCCAGGTTGAACATTCCCAGCTCTGCCAGCCTGGCTGCAGAGGGGCTCCAGCCCTGCTCATGGTTTATGCACAGAATGGAGCATGCAGGGGTATCACAAGAGCTCCTTACTCTGGGATTACTCCAGGGAGAGTTCTGCCATACCATGGTGGTTTCTTGTCAGAGTCCAGGACAGAATGCCATGGCTGGCCGGCTGGGCAGAGCTCAGCAGGTCAGAGAGAATGTTACAGGTAAGGAAAAAGAAACAACCTTGAGAAGCCGACCCTGCGCATCCAGACTCCTTCTCTGGCTGCTCGGGCTGGGAGAAAAAAGACTTTTACACTCTTGGGGTCATCCTGACACACAGACCCCCGAGATTTGCTTATTTCATTAACTCAGCAGGATTATTAAGGAATTAATGAGCTCCCTGCAGTGCTGCTCTTTAACCCAAAGGTTCAGGTACTTACCAAGCTGACAGAGAGGCACTGGCACATCCATTGGAGTCCTCATGGAGGTTAACAAACAAAGCTCTCTGCTTGCCAAAGGAACATTTTGCTGCAGTTCCTACAAACACATGAGAAACAAGAACATTTTACTAAATTATCACAGCAAATTACCTTAGTAAATAATTTTTAAGTAACCCAAGGTTTCTGTACAGAGTTGCTTTCACTCTCCAGTGTCTGAAGGAGGGCAGTGGTACTGGAAGAGTTACTGGGCGGGGGGACTGATCGTTATCATTTTATGGCAATTTTGTCCATTTTCATGGCAACAGCATTCCCCTTTTTCCACAGGGAAGGGTCTCCTACCACTTCAAATCAAGCAGAAGCCACTGTATGATTGTTTATATTAACTTTGCATTAAGATAGTATCTGAAAATTCAATGCCACTCACTGCAACTTCATTTATACAATGGAAACAAAACTTGCTTGGCTTTGCTTGAAATATAGTCATCACCATTGTAAGAAACATTTCCAGAAAGAGAAAAGATGAACAGGGAGCTTAGAAAAAAATTAATTATAAAGAAGTTATTAAATTTATGTTACAATTTTTAATGTATAAGAGCTGTTAAAATAACCCTTCACTGTTTTTTTTACTCTATTTAACATCCCCATAATATTAATATCCACAGGACCTGGTTTTGAGTTAGCTGGGCAAAGGTATATCTACTTCTAAAGAATCTTCCCCTCAGGTTTAACAAAAATTAACTGCTTTTTAACTTAACATTATTTGCAAGTACAACTGGAATTATTTTCCCTCCAAAACAACCAGTTTAAAATCATGCCAAAGAACACTCTGTATATTCATATATTAACACAGGACAGAAGTCATCTGTTAAATTCAGATTAACTAAAATCCCTTATCTGAGAAGTCAATCTCCCTGTGCTCGGAGTTCTAGCAGGAGTGTAGGAAATCACTGGAGAAATGTTAGCAAATTGGCTCTGTGCAAATGACAATTCCAGAGCCTCAGGGAACGCTCCATCCCCCTCACTTTATTACTTCATTCAAGCAAAAGTCATTGCAAAGAGCAGCTGCACCTGCAGGTTGGGATTCCCCAGGTTGTTCCAGCGTTCCCTTCAGGAGAAAGCCTTGGGTGATACTGGATTCACTTGTGAAACCATTTCCTTTCCCTGTTAACCCTCGCAGTTCACGCCAGGCCCTGTCCAAGCACCCCCTGCCCGGGGGATGTGTGGGTGTACCTTGGATCCTTGCTGGCCATGCTGCCAGGACAGCAACAACCCCACTCTGGGGATCACAGCAGGCTCCCGTGTGCCGCTGCCTGCTGAACAAAGGATTCTCCTGCATGAGGCATACTCAAAGCCAGGTGACTTGTTCAGCACCTTCCTGAGGAAATGTGATAAAATGTGTTCATCTCCAGGATTCCACAGCTGTCTAAAGCTGGATGTCCTCTGCAGATCTACCACTGCCAGGGAGATTCCAGAGGAAAACCATTTCTGTCAGAACTGAGATGAGCTTTTGCTACTCCTCCTCCTCAGGGCTGCAGCAGTGCCTGTGGAGAGCACATGGAATCAGCAGTGAGAGCAGGCCCCGAGGCCAGGCTGTGCCCACGGAGAACCCCGGGAGCTGCCTGGAGCCCCACAGCTCAGGGCACACTGGCACAGCAGCCACATCTGGAGCTCATGGAATCACAGCTGGCTGTGGCTGGAGGGACCCTACACCTCATCCCATCCCACCCCTGCCATGGCAGGGACACCTCCCACTGTCCCAGGCTGCTCCAACCTGGCCTTGGGCACTGCCAGGGATCCAGGGGAATCTGGGAATTCCATCCCAGCCCTGCCCACCCTGCCAGGGAACAATTCCCAATTCCCAATCTCCCACCCAGCCCTGCCCTCTGGCAGTGGGAGCCATTCCCTGGCTCCTGTCCCTCCATCCCTGTCCCCAGTCCCTCTGCAGCTCTCCTGGAGCCCCTTCAGGCCCTGGCAGGGCTCTGAGCTCTCCCTGGAGCTTCTCCTCTCCAGGTTGAACATTCCCAGCTCTCCCAGCCTGGCTCCAGCCCTGGGATCAGTTTAGAGGTTCGCAGGTTCAGACTGGATGGGGTTATATTTGCTTCCAATCAGAAAAGAAAAAAAAAACCAGCTTTGAGGTTTTAAAAGTCAGAGGCTCATATTTCAGAAAAACTCTTCCCCAGTTCTTGGAAACAAGCAGATGGTCTACTTATTTATATAAATCAGCTTATGGGAATATTGAGAGAGGCAGAGAGACTGACTGGCAGCAGGGATGTCTGCAGGGGAATGTTTTGAGCCGGCACAGGGACCTCTGAAACTGCCCAAGCAGGGCCACCTGCAGCAGCGACACAGGAAGGTGCCCAGGGGGTTTGGGAGGTCTCCACAGAGGGAGACTCCAGCCCCTGCCTGGGCAGCTCTTCCAGGGCTCTGCCCCTCCAGGGAAGGAAGTTCTTCCTCGGGCTGGACTGGAACTGTTGTGGTTTAGTTCCTGGCCACTGCTCCTTGTCCTGCCACCAGCACCACTGGGCAGAGGCTGGCACCATCCTGGCACCCCTGGAGCTCTATAAAATCCTGAATCCAGCCGAGCCAGGGAACCACGCTGTGCCTGTAGCATTACTCTCCCCCTCAATTGCTGGGAGACTTTGGATAAACCACTCCTAAGGATACAGAAATCACCTAACCTCAGTAACCCAAGACCATTACCAACAGCCCTTTTCCCATGGACTGCCACAGTGCTGGGAAAGAGACAGCCCTAGGCTGGGCCAGGGCAGGCTCAGCTGGGACAGCAGCAGGAATTTCCCCATGGAAAGGGGGCTCAGGCCCTGGCAGGGGCTGCCCAGGGAGCTTTGGAGTGCCCATCCCTGCAGGTGTCCCCTGGAGGTGGCACTGAGTGCTCTGGGCTGGGGACAAGGTGGGCATGGGGCCCAGCTGGGACTCCCTGGGCTGGGAGGGCTTTTCCAGCCCCAGGATTTGGGATCTGTGGACTGACACTCCTGCAGTCCCATGGAATTTCCAGCCCCCCTGGGATTTGGGATCTGCCCGTGGGACACACGGGGACCCGTGGGGATGGCCCAGCCTGGGCTGGGGGCTCAGCAAACCGAGGGGCGCTGCTCCTCACAAACACCAGGCCCCGGTGCTATTCGCACCCCCAGGCAACTCCCAGGCTACGGCCGCGCTCAATGCAGCGAGCGGGGCGCTGCCACAGGCGAACCCGGCGGGATCTGGGGCTCCGTTTGTGGTTCAGGGTGCGCCAGCACAGCACTCCCGGAGCCGCGGAGCCCTGCCGGAATCGCCCGGAGCAGCCGGGCCGCGGCCCAGACCTCTCCCCTCAGGCGGCTGAGGGAGCGCGGCCCGCTCGCCTCATGGAACCGCCGCATTGCCGCGCCCGGGGCAGCGGGGGGGACACGACAGTGCTCGCACCACCCCCTCCCAGCCGTACCTCGCGGCGGGGACTCCCCACGGGCTCCGCTCCGGCTCCTCATCGCTCCTTATCGCCCCTTATCGCCGCCCATAGACCAGCATTGATACCCAGCACTGCCGCCCGCGGCGGCGCCCAGCGGAAAATGGCGGTGGGGACGGGGAGGAGTGGCCACGCCCCTCTGCTAGGCCACGCCCACATGCGGCTAAACCACACCCCCAAACACACAAACCACGCCCCCTCACCCTCAGTCCACGCCCCCATCCGTCAAGCCCCGCCCCTTTCCCCTCAGGCCCCGCCCAGCGGCGCCGCTCTGTCCCCTCAGCCGCGGGAAAGCTTCGCTGCTTTTATTTCTGTTTCTGCTTTTATTTCCCTTTCTGCCACTATTATTCCCTTATTTCCCTTTCTCTCACTCCTCCGGGCCCGCTCCACCCCCGGCTCTGCGCTGTTGGCTGTGCGGGAAAGCTGCGGGAGCGGTGGCTGATCCCCTTCCATGTTTACAGACTCAGAGTCGCAGCAGGTTTGGGTTGGAGGGACCTCAAATCCCACCCAGTGCCACCCCTGCCATGGGGACACCTCCCACTGTCCCAGGCTGCTCCAGCCCCAGTGTCCAACCTGGCCTTGGGCACTGCCAGGGATCCAGGGGAATCTGGGAATTCCATCCCAGCGCTGCCCACCCTGCCAGGGAACAATTCCCAATTCCCAATTCCCAATCTCCCATACCAGCCCTGCCCACCGTGCCAGGGAACAATTCCCAATTCCCAATTCCCAATCTCCCACCCAGCCCTGCCCACCCTGCCAGGGAACAATTCCCAATTCCCAATCTCCCACCCAGCCCTGCCCTCTGGCAGTGGGAGCCATTCCCTGGCTCCTGTCCCTCCATCCCTGTCCCCAGTCCCTCTGCAGCTCTCCTGGAGCCCCTCCAGGGGTTATTTTCCCCCCAGAACATTCCAGGGGTGGTTCCATAGCCCAGGGATGGGCTCCCAGGGGGTTCCTGCCCAGCCAGGCTGGTGAGGAGCAGCTCAGGCTGTGCCCTGGGCAGGGCAGGAGGTGTTTGAGGGAACAGCTGAAATGCTGAATTTCCTGTTCACTGCAGTTACAAAGAACCTGGAGAGTTCACTGCGATTTCCCTGGTGCAGCGAATCCAATCTGATTTAACACCCAAGAATTGTGGAATTGCTTTGGTTGGGGTGGACCTGGAAGCTGATCTGTTCCATGCCAGCAGCGGGGAGCCTCAGCTGCCCACGCTGCTCTCAGCACAGAGCCTTTGCTCTTTCTGCAGGGCAATGGCAGCAGCATTTCCTCCTGTGGTTTAGTGTTTGATGTCTGAATTTGGAGCAGAAATATGATTTCTGCTGAGAACATCGTCTTGCACAACCTGAAACATCCTGTTTTCAATTGCTCCTGTACCACAGAGACCTTTTGTCTCTGTTGGTGTCACTGGGGGTTTCAGCTTGCAGAGAAATTGCCAAAGTACTTGGTAAAACTACTGTGCCCTTTGCAAAGAAATAGAGAATTAAAAAATCGATTGATATTTTTGCTGTCTTGATTTTTTCTGTATGGGCTCTTCTGAAACTTCAGTGCATCCAGAACTAGGAGGGACTGCTCCTTCCCTCTATTTATTTTAATTTGTGTACAGTCCTATTTTTTTTTATACGTTCATTTTTTTCAATCTTGGCTCAGAAAGAACTAAAAAATTCATTTTTGAAGATTTTGAGAATTAAGATTTTGAGAAGTATTTTTCTACATTTCCCAATTAAAAAAAAAATTTGATGTGTCTTTCTTTGGCCTGAAGGTGATGCTGTTTCTCTAGGAAAAAGTACTGGAAAAGCCATTGGGAAGTCTGGTGGGAAATACCTGTGTTAAAATTCAATGTACACCTATTTATGCCCTTTGTCTTGGCAAGTTTTAATTAAATATCCAAGCACAGAAAGTAGCTAACAACAGCAAGCACCCTGGGACAGTGAGAGGTGTCTCTGCCCATGGCAGGGGTGGAATTAAATTATTAAATGATCATTGAGTTCCCTCTAACCCACAGCAGTCTGCATCTCTATGATTCCATAGCTCTTTAACCCAAACTCTGTGCAAATCTGTGGCACCTCAGTGAAGCAAATGAAGCTTGCAGGGTTTGCAGTCAGCGGGCAGAATCTCTGGGGATTTAAATTCATTTAAAAAACCCAAAAAACAGTGCTGAGCTAAAAGACCATCAAATGCTTTCTGGGGCTGCTAGAAACTCATAACTGCTCTGTGGTGGTTTTTTTTGGGTTTGTTTTTGTTTTTGTTTTTTGGTGGGGTTTTTTGTTTGTTTGTTTTTGGGGTTTTGGGGTTTTTGTTTGTTTGTTTCTTTTTTTTTTTAATTTTTTTTCCTCGGGTTACTCTGTTTTAGAGTAACTTTAGTTCTGTGCTGCCAGGCACTGACCACAGGAGAACACTGCACTGACCTGAGGCCAAGGAGAAGCTCCCAAAACTCAATAATAAAACTGAGATTACAGGTATGGAGTTGGAATGGAAGTGTGTGATATCACAGGGTGGGAAACTCAGAGTTTAAGGGATTAGAATACAGGAATAGATATAAAGCAAGATGGAGATTTTAGGGTAGAGGCTGCTCCTCCTTCACCTCCTTCTCCATGGGTTTGGGTGGTTTTGTGCAATTGGATAAAAAAGTCCCCATTGTGGGCACAGGTGGTTGGGTATTGGGTTAAAAGTGAAAATAATTGAGGTGTCATTTCTTAATTGGACAGTTTATCCTGAAAAGGCCTTGCAGAGAGAGAGATGGGCTCCATTTTGAGTTTGTTGGAGTGAAGTGCTGCAGAACTCAGGGTTTGTGAAGCTGTGACAGAGACAAGAACTGACAAACACCTGAGTCCCACCAAGAAATTCCCTCTCACACATTTAATCCCAACTTGGCAAAAAGATGTTCAGACTCCACATGGCACCAGTGGTTTCCAGTGCTCTCAGACAAAAACAAACACAGGAACCTGCAATCAGTGGTACCCAAAGCAGATCCTGCCCCAGCTGGGATTTCACAGCCTGTGGCCTTGAAATCCCCACGGGTTAATCAATATGGATGGCAATTGTTGTCAGTGCACACACCAGATGAAATAACAATTTCTATTTCTCCTGCTCTGCTCTGCCTCCTCACTAAGGAGGAGCACAGAAATAGCAAAATGATACAGTAGTGGTGGTGGAGCAGTTGGATTTATTTTGTTCCAAAAGACGATGTGGGAAATTAATTTGTAGAAAATTAGGGGAAAAAAAACCCAACTTGTAGAAAGTAAAAAAAATAACTTAATCCAATAGAGTCCTTTGGGAGGAGGATGCTGGAAAATCCCAGCCACCGTGGTGTGGGGGGCATGTGAAGACTGAACCTCAGGGGGTTTTGTTTTATGTTCTCCTTTCTGTAAACATCTGGAAAGTTGTTGGATTTCCAGTCCTGGGAATCTTTTGCTCAGGATTTGATAGACTAACATGGAATGCACATGAACCAACCCGTGGAGGCTGAATAAAGGGGATGGATTTTCAGAATTTCAGTGTTCCTGTAGCCCTGCAAGCGTTTACTTGCTCTTACTCACAGGAGTAATCTCAGTGAAATAAATGAAACTATTAAATGAGTGTGAGTAAAGGGGCTTGGAATGGTAGAGAAAGAGTAGAGAAAGGTAAAGAAGGAGTGGAAATTTTAAATTTCCAGTGAGAATTACAGCCTCCAAAAGCTGCTGGGCCCTGGACACGGTGTGGCACAAGGATTTCTGCTGGTGTCTGGCTGCTCCTGTGAAGTTTGAGGTTGGCTCAAGCTTTGTGCCTCACAGGAGTTTGAGCAGATGGGAAATGAGCCGTGAGCAGGGCCCTGTCAGGATCACAGAATTCCAGAATCAAGGTGGGAAGAGCCCTCCAGGATCACCCAGCGCCACCAGCATCACCCAAACCCTGTCCCCAAAGCCACATCCAGACTCCTCTGGGACAATTCCAGTGACTCCAAACCTCCCTGGGAGCCCATCCCAAGGCCTGACCACTCTGTGAGGGACAGAAATGTTCCAAAGCTCTACAGAAACCCCAACAGCGACTCTCAGATGTTCCTGTCTCACAGAGATCCAGGGGACAGCCAGGAAAAGATCCACCAAAGGAATCTGGGTGACCATTTTTTGTTCACTTTTACAGGAGCTGTTTTAGAAAACCTGAGCCTCCCCTGGTGCCATCTGAGGCCTTTTCCTCTCCTCCTTTCCCTGCCCCTCCTGACAGGAGCTGTGCAGAGCAAGGAGGGACCCCTGAGCCTCCTTTTCTCAGGCTGAGCCTCAGAGAGCTTTGACTTGTCCAACCTGCCCTAAAGGAGTTTAGGAAGTGCTGGATCTTCTCAAAATCCCAGAATCAAGGCTGGGAAAACCCTTCAGGATCACCCAGTGCCACCCCAGCGCCACCAGCATCACCCAAACCCTGTCCCCAAGGCCACATCCAGACTCCTCTGGGACAATTCCAGTGACTCCAAACCTCCTTGGGCAGCTCATCCCAAGGCCTGACCACTCTGTGAGGGAAATTTTCTTTCCCAATCTCCAACCTGAGCCTCCCCTGGTGCCATTTGAGGCTTTTCCTTTGTGCTGTCCCTGGAGCAGAGCAGGAGAGGAGATGTGCTGTGTGCCTGGCAGGAGCTGCAGCTGTGGGCACAGATTTCATTTCTGGGAGTGCAACAGGAACCTCCAGCCCCCCTGTTTGAGCTGTGCCCTCCCTCGTTGCTCTCCTGGCCATAAATAAGCAATAATGGCACAGCAGAGCCTTGTTTTTCCTGAGGAAATGGCTGTTAATATTCTAATAATGTCATTAACAGCATCATTTGCAGCTCAGCTGGCAGCAAACAACTGCTGCCCTTGTCTCTCCGTGGGATGGGAATTTCCACCTTGCCGTGAGGATGAATTTCTGTCAGCTCTGCAGTGGGAATTCCAGGGAAGAACAGGTGGGAGTGTGGAAAGAGCCCCAGGGGTGGCAGGAGCAGGGTTCACCTTCCTCCCCCTCCTAAAGCAGAGCAGCCTCAGGGGTTTCATCTCTGGAGTGTTCTGGCCACGTCCACACTCCTGAAAACTTTCCTGAAGGGATGGGGGGATCTCCCCTCCAGCCCTCTCTTCCCTGGACACCTCTGCAGTGACTCTGGCGTTTG